CTCACGAAAAAAAAAGCAGAATACAAATTTGAAATATCTTGCACAACATACAATCATTTTGCTACAACTTCAGTAAATATGTCATTGTCGAAACTTGAATCGTTACCCAACGAAATTTTGATGGATTTTCTAGAAAAACATGCCAATGGTGTCGATATACTAGTGGCATTTGCCAAACAGCTCAATAGTCGCATCGATGGTCTCATTGCTCAATGTCAACAACTTCGATTCGATTTTATTCGTTGTCGAAAGGATAATTTTCTGCTTTGTGTAAGTCTATTTCCCTTATTGATTGACAAAATCAGTGAATTAGCCTTATTAGAATGGGATACACCAGGTCAAATTAATACTTTTCTCTCGTTCTTTCCATCATTCAGACCATTTAAAACTCTTCGTACATTATATTTTCATTTCGATGCCGCAACCATTACCTCGAAAGAAGTAGATAAAGCTCTTGGGTCATTGAGAAATCTGAAGAATCTAAACACTTTGTCCATTAAAGTGGCACATGCATTAGAAGCACCACTAATGAGGATTATTGTTGAACTATTCTGTTTACCAACGTTAAAACGACTCTCAGTTGCTATTGGAGAGTGTAAATCAGAATGGACGTTTATGAATCCTTGGATACCAGATTCATTCAATATTGAACATTTGACTATTACAGGTATGCCTTTTCAATGGAATGATCTACAATTGATAATTCAGTGTTCTCGTCATCTTCGATACGTTAATGTTCGATTAACCAAGACACGACTGTATCTTTCTCAAGAAGGAATATCAATCCAACTGGATTATGTACCAAATCTTCAGACATTAATTTTACATTTTGAAGAAGACGATCCGACAACGTTTGACATGGTTGCGAAACTTTTGCGAGCTACATATAATATTTGCTGGTTAGAACTAACTGTCCATGATGCTTTGATCAAAGCCAGTGCTTGGGAACACCTCATTCAAAATGCATTACCACATTTGACACATTTTTTGCTGAGAACAAGTTCATATCGTCTAAAGAAGCGTATTCTTGAAGAAGTACTCATCTCTTTCCGAACATCATTCTGGGTTGCAAAGAACAATTTTTACATATTGATCTTAGATGATGAACATCTACTGAATAGCAAAGATACAATGAATCATATCTGTGGCCGAAAACAACAGACATCGAATCATGAAAACACAGAATTTCGAACAGCATTAGTACATCCAATCAACAGTAATATCTCTCCAACAAGCACTATCACAAGTCTATATTTCGGTAGGAATTCCTCGCTTCTTTTATGTCAATATTCGTTTGACAACGTTCGATATCTTGTTATCGATTATCCAGAGAAAAATCTCGTACAATGGATAACTAAATATGTCAATTGTTTAAGAATTGAAGAACTCGATATTTCATCATGTAAACACGATCAAATGATAGCCATTTCACTAGTGACGCACACTAAAAATATTAAATCACTCAAATTGAACGCTAATCAATTGATTGCGTATCAAAGATTAAACCTCGGAAGAAACAGCCAACTAAAATCTCTCGCTGTATTATATGTTCAAGAGACTTTTAATGAAAATATGATTCAAACTATTGGTCGCCTATTTCCTCGTATCGAACACATGGTGATTGGCATGCTGAATCTAGACAATATTCCAATGCTAGGTACATATTTGCCTTATCTTCGCAGTCTTACTATTAACATTCTTGGTCAAACCTTCAAACCATTCTATAGTTTTGAAAAGAAAATAGAGAGCTATGAATGGCAAACGAAAAGTAAATTTCTATTACAACGCGATGGACACTGGGCTACCATTTGGCTTGATTCAGCGGCATTCGAAAAAACCTTTTGGAACATTTCTGAAAGAAATTTATGTTCATCCGTTAAAAGATCAGTAGCGACAAATGATAATCGAAAAAAGAGATTCAAATCCTAATTAGCTTGCTTCAAATAATTGTTTCTACAATATAATTGTAGGATAATAATATACGTGTAAATAGAAGAATCATTATTTCTGTTGACTTTTCGTTTTTTTCTTCTCGATACAAATTTGGTGTTTGAGTGTGTAGGGGGGAGGGGGGGGGGGGGGGTAGGGGGGTTGGAGGGTG